TATATATATATATATATATATATATATATATATAAAGAATATATATAAATGTGTGTGTATATATGTATATATATAACATACATCATAATGTATAAAGCAGTAACTGAAAATCAGAGCATCTAAAATGTGTCCTTTTTAACTTTTTTAATCATACCCTGCTTCCTTTTACTAAAATGAAAAAATAAATGAGAAAAGGAAAAGAGACAAATGGTTTTACAGAGCTTTTGAATAAACAGTAGCACCTGCGAACAAAGAGCAGCTGTTGAAAATGTGATACATTTGAAACACAAAAGAACGCAACAAGTTGAGTCATCGACTGGCTGAGTCTGTGCAGGACCATTAACCAGCCCTCCGTTCAACTCACTCAGAATAATTCAGTGTCAGCTGGAGCAAATTTGACAATGTGCAGACAGCTGAAGATCATTTAGACACAAAGACAATAACTGCAGTCCACCCAGACACCCCAAAATTCCCAGTCCACCCACGATCAGCCAGGCTGGTTAGAGGTCACTGTATGAAAATGAATGTGTGCTTCAAAGCATACCCCGCCCTTTCCTTTAGTTTCATATCAGTAATGCCATCTTTGGACACCAGTTTGTTAAAAACGAGAATCCCAATAACCATGTTAACCTGCCAAAGACAAGAGGCACAGAATTAAAACAGAGTAAAGGCAATTTAATACATCACAACATGCAACAACACGACTCCAGGGACAACAGTTATGAGCATACAAGAACGTCACAGCAGCATGCACACAGACAAATGACTCATTAAACCGACAGCACGTTGGTTCTGCACAGGCAAAGCTGAAGCGCACGACATCAAAGGCATGGTCCTAACATTTTGAAGAGGTGTTTTGTAGAAAAGGTGTGAACAATTAATGTCTTCCCTTTAACCATGTGTTTGGTTGGAAACAGTTTAATTGTGACAGGACAGATGAACTAACAACCAGCCAAGACCAAAGTGGATGCTGTCTTAAAGCAACTTCAACCTCAGAAATGATCGAGTGGCTCATGTTGGAAAAAGGATCCTCTGTTCATCTTACTTACTTAAAGAAGCCACACTTGAGGACACAACAAGAGATTTTAACCAGTTTTACTTGCAAGGGTAGATTTTCACTCAAAGGTTTACATAGATGCATTAAAGCTCTACATCACTGGAACCCGGTCACGAGCATCTGCGCCGGGCAGTATGCAAGAGATGCTTATATATGTGTTTATCAGCTCTCACAGCTCACAGTCAATGGTGACCTTGACTGCACATGAAGGCTCCTCCCAGAGAGGGAAAAACAACAGCACATGCTTCGTGGACAGTTAACTTTAGTAGTGACATCTATAACCCTTGACCAAAAATCCCCTGACATGTCCCACCCCCCTGTTTATAGGTGTTTATTACATCATCATTGTTACAATCATCATTGGGGACTGCCATACAAATGCACGGCAGGCACCTATTATTCTACACCTCGGAAGTGTGTCTACATTTCTATCTCTGTTAATGCGACCCGAACCACAACGTGTACCCCACAAATGTTATATCAAAACAACCGGCTCGGCCCTGTTATGTGTCCTATTACTTTTATTGGTAATCAGAGTTACCATGGTGACATATTTTGCTAACAAAGACAACTAAATTCTTCATAGGAAATGACTGAGAGAACACTCCTCACAATAACTGCTGCTGTCAAGTCACATGACAGAGTGAACAAACAGGTTCCTGATGAAAACAGAAACTAACTGCTGGATTTGTTTGAAACTCACAGAAAGTAATCATCAGATCAATGTCTAGAACTGATTAAGTTTTGGAGCCATTTTGATCCAAGATGGCTGCCACGGCTACCTCAGCAAACACAAAATTGACTAAAACTCGGCCATTTTTTGAGCTATTCAGATGAAATTTTGTATAATGGTAGCTGAGAGCGAACCACAACACCTTTTACTATCAAATCAAGAATTTAAATCGGCAGCAGCCTGGCAGTCCCCGTCAAAGTTTCTCCAGGAACTTTCTAGTTAAACAATACTTTTCATCCCCCTGACTCTCTTCCCTCTCACTTCTATTCAGGTGACTCCTGTAATTCTCTCATGTTCTTTTTTAATTATAAAATCAGAAAAATTCATCAGCAACTTTGTCCTGTCCCTCCTCTTCCTCTCTCCTCTGAACCTCCTCCCCTCAGTCAGCATTTTTCTGTCTTTCAGCTTCTTCCTGCCTCTGAAATAGCCAAACTCATTCTGAAATCCAAGCCCTTCACGTTCATTGGATCCTCTCCCAACAGTGCTTGTAAAATCTTGCCTTTTTTCACTTCTCCCTATCATTTCTGCCATTATTCACTCTTCTCTTTCTTCAGGAACTGTACCAACTATTTTCAAAAGTGCAGTTGTCACTCCAATCCTTAAGAAGCCTGGATTGGATCCAAATATTTTCAATAATCTTCGCCCTATTTCTAACCTTCCATTCTTCTCTAAAATTCTTGAAAAAAACAGTCGCTTCTCAACTCCACCTCCATTTATCCAAAAACAGTCTATACAAACAGTTCCAGTCTGGTTTCCGCCCCGGTCACAGCATAGAATCTGCTCTCCTTAGAATCACTAATACTCTTCTCATGGCAGCAGATTCTGATTTACTTTCTCTCGTCATCCTCCTCGATCTTAGTGCGGCATTTGATACCATCTCCCCCAACATCCTCCTCCGCAGACTTTCATCCACTGGCATCACCCACACACCCCTCGCTTGGTTTCAGTCATATCTCTCTGGCCGCACTCAGTTCATCCAACTGAAATCATTCAGATCCCATTCCTCTCCTGTGACTTCAGGTGTGCCCCAAGGCTCTGTCCTGGGGACTCTTCTTTTCATCATCTACCTTCTCCCACTTGGCAATATCTTCCGTAAATTTAACATTCACTTCCATTGTTTTGCCGACGACACCCAGCTCTTCTTATCCACTGCACCTAATTCTTCACTTCCTCCTTCCTCTCTCACTTCCTGCTTAGCAGAAATTAAATCCAGGTTTACATATAACTTCCTTAAATTAAACAATGATAAAACAGAGTTTCTACTCATCAGCACTAAATCCACCATATCTAAAATCAACAGTTTTTCCCTCACCATTGACAGCTCCATGGTTTCTCCCTCCCCTCACGTTAAGAGTGTGGGTGTCATTCTTGACAACACTCTATCTTTTCACTCTCACACCAATAATATTACCCAGTCTGCATACTTCCACCTTCGAAACATCAACCGTCTCCGTCCATCCCTCTCCCTGCACTCTACTTCCATCCTGGTCCATAGCTTGGTCATTTCTCGAATTGATTACTGCAACTCTCTCCTATTTGGTCTGCCGCAGAAATTACTCCGTAAGCTTTAAATGTTTCAAAATTCAGCTGTCCGCATCATTACCAAAACCCCCTCATTTCACCACATCACCCCAGTTTTACAGCAACTTTACTGGCTTCCAGTCACTTTCAGAATTCAATTTGAAATCCTCTTGTACACATTCAAGTCCATCCATAACCTCACCTCTCCCTATCTGTTCGATCTCCTGCACATTATTACCCATTCACGCTCCCTTTGTTCTTCCTCTTCCATCCACCTCAACGTGCCTCTCGTCCTCCTCAGCACCATGGGACACAGAGCCTTTTCGACTCAGAGTACAGACAGCGGACTCAAGACTTTGTGGGCTGGTGCCAGCAGAACCACCTCCTGATCAACGCTGCTAAAACTAAGGAGCTGGTTGTGGATTTCCGCAGGCACAGATCCACCTCACTGACCCCGGTGAACATCCAGGGTGTGAACATCGAGATTGTGGACTCTTATCAGTACCTGGGTGTTCACCTGAACAATAAACTGGACTGGTCTCACAACACTGATGCACTTTACAGGAAGGGTCAGAGCAGACTCTACCTGCTGAGGAGACTGAGGTGTTTTGGAGTGCAAGGGGTGCTCCTGAAGACCTTCTTTGACTTGGTAGTGGCATCAGCCATCTTCTATGGTGTTGTGTGTTGGAGCAGCAGCTTATCATCAGCTGAGAAGAAGCAGCTAGATAAGATCATCAAGAAGACCAGCTCGGTGCTTGGATGCCCCCTCGAACCAGTGCAGGTGGTGGGAGACAGAAGGACTCCAGCTAAAATAACATCATTGCTGGACAACGTCTCCCACCCCATGAAGCTGCTGCTGAACTGGAGAGCTCGTTCAGTGACAGGTTCCTGCTCCTAAATGCACAAAGGAGCGTCCCCGCAGGTCCTTCCTCCCAGCAGCTGTTAGACTCTACAACCATCACTGCTCCCAACAAACTCAATAAGGATTGAATACATGCTGACCTCTGCTGAAACACTCACTCTGCCTGTAATACTGGACTGTCAATAGTCTGTCCTTATCAATGTTCCAATACATATTGAACATTATTATTGATATTGTTTATCTTATTTCTTATATATTGTGTTGTTTATTAACATTTAGGAACTTTTGTGTGAAATCTTTAAATCGTTTAATCTTTTTATCTGTTGCTGCTGATACACTGGAATTTCCCATCCGTGGGACAAAAAAGCCTATTTCTATTTCTCACTCTGCTCTCCAACTCTGGAATGCTCTTCCCCCAGAAATCCATAATGATGACTCCCTTCAGACCTTCAAATCACAACTCAAAACTCATCTGTTCAAGTTAGCCTTCTCACTTGAATTTCTTGTTATTTTCTTCTTGGTTTAATCCAAAAAAGTTCAATCTGGTCCTCTGGACATTCAAAAAAACAAAAAACAAAACAAAGCAAAAAAAATATAGAAATGTTTCGTCTCTCATCCGAGAGACTTCCTCAGTCTGAGGAGCTGTTTTCAGCTCAGTCTCTTAAATAGCACCTTCTCAGAGTGGATCAACCAGTTTGCTGCTGACAACCAAAACCAGCTGCTCACATGGTCAAGAAGGACCATCAGCCTAACAATGGATCATTAGCACCTGATGGCTGTTTACTATTCTCAGGGGGCTGAGTGATACTAGCAATCACAGCATTGTAAGAGGGGGACAGTTGAACACGGAGGCTCCACCCCTGTTTAATGATGGACAATTTCTTTTCACAAAGATGGCGTCCTTTACTCCTCTCTCAAACCATCGTTCCTCTCTATCCAGGATGTGAACATCTTCATCCCTGAAAGAGTGACCGCTGGCCTGGCCTGTGTAGACCGCAGAGTCCTGGCCTGATGATGTTGATCTTCTGTGCTGGTCCATCCTTTTGGCCAGTGGCTGTTTAGTTTCCCCGATGTAAGACTGATCACAGCCCTCCTGACACTGAACAACATACACAACATTACTCTGTTTGTGCCGGGGGACTGGATCTTTGGGATGAACCAGTCTTTGCCGTAATGTATTTTGAGGTTTAAAAGCCACTGGGACGTTATGTTTGACTGCAGTTTGACTCCCATCACCCTTTGGAGCACAAGTTAGGAGTCATCAGGACTCTGTACCACAGAGCAGACAGCGTCCCCACTAACTCAGGAGCCAGGCAGAAGGAGAAATCCCACACAAGACAGGCTCTAGAGCATTGTGGATATCCTAACTGGGCCTTCCTGAAAGCAGAGAAGAAACACAAACAGGACTCCAGTCAGCCATCAGGTGAAAAGGAGGAACCCAGACCCAGACCAGTGGT